CGCTGCTGACGGAGACCCCATTTCCTGGCAACAGTTTGGGGATGCACAGAGTTTGGACGAAACCAAAACTCACTCTGCACCACCCAGAGCAGGACTGAGCACCTGGGGTTGCCCTAGGTAGTGAGAACAGTCAGCAGGGACGAGGGACCACGTGCCGCTACCAGGAAACCGAACTCAGACTCCCTGGTTGTGCCACAGCCTGCACCCCAGCACGAGGCTTCAGGGCCACCTCACAGCGTGAGGAGCCTCACCCCTCCCTCCAGGAACAGCTCCTGAGCGCACCAGGACCCCACATGCACGTGGGAGGGTGGGCGCTCGCTCACGGCTGCACACAGGAGCCTCCTGAGCAGAACGCGTCAGGGTGGGGTCCCCGGGGGTGTGGGCAGAGCCCTGGGAGGGCCCAGCGTGCACAAGGCAGAGGGCAGCCTGTGGAGGCCTGGAAGTCCGCTCTGGGCACGCGCCCAGCACCGAATGAGGCCACGCCCGCACACTCCACATACTGGGGTTTGTAATGCGCTGCCGTGATGAGGAACACGCATGAGGAATGCATGTTACAGAAAAATGATGGAACAGCCTTCTATCCGGGGCGTGACTCCCTAAACCCGGGGTGGGGGCGTCGCCCATGGGATATACGAGGCCACGAAATCTGGCCTGGCCCTGCCCACCAGCCAGGCAGGATTTTTAAGTGCACAGAGCAGCAGCTTATAAATACTCCTACTGCTCTCGTGTTGTGCAGACGTCACCTCCACCCCGCCCCAGGACTCACCTCGAAAACCCGAAACTGTCCCTGTGACACTTTCCCCAGCCCCCACCCCAGCCCCGTGCCGTACCGCACACCCCGTCCTGTCCCCGTGCTGTACCACACACACTGTCCCGTCCCTGTGCCGTACCACACACCCCGTCCTGTCCCCGTGCTGTACCGCACACCCCGTCCCTGTGCTGTACCACACACCCCGTCCTGTCCCTGTGCCGTACCACACACCCCGTCCCTGTGCCGTACCACACACACTGTCCCGTCCCTGTGCCGTACCGCACACCCCGTCCCTGTGCCGTACCGCACACCCCGTCCTGTCCCTGTGCCATACCACACACCCCGTCCTGTCCCTGTGCCGTACCACACACCCCGTCCCCGTGCCGTACCACACACCCCATCCCTGTGCTGTACCGCACACCCCGTCCCGTCCCTGTGCCATACCACACACACTGTCCCGTCCCTGTGCCGTACCACACACCCCGTCCCTGTGCTGTACCACACACCCCGTCCCTGTGCTGTACCACACACCCCGTCCCTGTGCTGTACCACACACACTGTCCCGTCCCTGTGCCGTACCACACACCCCGTCCCTGTGCCGTACCACACACCCCAGCCCTGTGCCGTACCGCACACCCCGTCCCCGTGCCGTACCGCACACCCCGTCCCTGTGCCGTACCGCACACCCCGTCCCCGTGCCGTACCGCACACCCCGTCCCCGTGCTGTACCGCACACCCCGTCCCTGTGCTGTACCGCACACCCCATCCCATCCCTGTGCTGTACCACACACCCCGTCCCCGTGCTGTACCGCACACCCCGTCCCTGTGCTGTACCGCACACCCCATCCCATCCCTGTGCTGTACCGCACACCCCATCCCGTCCCTGTGCTGTACCGCACACCCCATCCTGTCCCTGTGCTGTACCGCACACCCCATCCTGTCCCTGTGCTGTACCGCACACCCCGTCCCTGTGCTGTACCGCAACCCCGTCCCGTCCCTGTGCTGTACCACACACCCCGTCCCCGTGCTGTACCGCACACCCCGTCCCTGTGCTGTACCGCACACCCCATCCCATCCCTGTGCTGTACCGCACACCCCATCCCGTCCCTGTGCTGTACCGCACACCCCATCCCGTCCCTGTGCTGTACCGCACACCCCATCCCGTCCCTGTGCTGTACCGCACACCCCATCCTGTCCCTGTGCTGTACCACACACCCCGTCCCTGTGCTGTACCACACACCCCATCCCGTCCCTGTGCCGTACTGCACACACCGCCCCTACAAGCATCACAGTCCGAGAACCTCACGTTGGTGGGACGCACGTTTGTCTTTGTGCCGGCCCGTTCCCCGGGACACGACGTGCAGGAGGCCCAGCTGTGCCGTGGCAGGTGTCCAGGCCCTCCCATGCTGGGCAGTACTCCATGCTGGTGCAGGCCACACTCGGCTCACCCACTCGGACACCTCGGCACGCGGGCGTGCAAGTCTCCCTTCCAGACGCGCTTTGCCGTCTTTTGTTTAAGACGTGGATGGCTGGGCGATGTCGGCAGGGCGAGGAGGAAGCCCCGGGAGAGAGAAGTACCCAGGGCGGGGCAGAGGGAGACCAGCAGACGGAGGGCCCGAGAGGCGGGAAGGGGCTCCAGGCGGACCAGGCCAGGGGAGGCATGTGACGAGCGGCCTGCGTGCTCCGGAGAGGAGAAGGGGCAGCAAGGAATGCCAGGGAGTGGGCTGGAGGCAGCCGCGCAAGGCGTGGACAGTGCCAGGGAGTGGGCTGGAGGCGGCCACGCAGGGCGTGGACAGTGGCAGGGGGTGGGCTGGAGGCGGCCGCGCAGGGCGTGGACAGTGCCAGGGGGTGGGCTGGAGGCGGCCGCGCAGGGCGTGGACAGTGCCAGGGGGTGGGCTGGAGGCGGCCGCGCAGGGCGTGGACAGTGCCAGGGGGTGGGCTGGAGGCGGCCGCGCAGGGCGTGGACAGTGCCAGGGGGTGGGCTGGAGGCGGCCGCGCAGGGCGTGGACAGTGCCAGGGGGTGGGCTGGAGGCGGCCGCGCAGGGCGTGGACAGTGCCAGGGGGTGGGCTGGAGGCGGCCGCGCAGGGCGTGGACAGTGCCAGGGGGTGGGCTGGAGGCGGCCGCGCAGGGCGTGGACAGTGCCAGGGGGTGGGCTGGAGGCGGCCGCGCAGGGCGTGGACAGTGCCAGGGGGTGGGCTGGAGGCGGCCGCGCAGGGCGTGGACAGTGCCAGGGGGTGGGCTGGAGGCGGCCGCGCAGGGCGTGGACAGTAGAGGTCCCAGCAGGGAGGGAGAACGGGACACCAGGGACCGTCCTCCCTGCAGCTCCTGCTGGGCCTGGCCAACAGCCAGGGGCAGGGGCACAGGCTGGGTGGCCGTGCACCCCAAGTTGGGGCAGGGATGGCGGGAAAGCAGACTGGGAGGGCGTGGGGGTGGGGGAGGGGAGCCATGCCCCCCCCCCGGGGGTGGGCAGAGCTGGGGTGAAGCAGGTTGAATTCACTCCTTCACCTGAAATCACCAATGAAAACAAACAGCTCGTGAGTGACCTTAAGCCCGGCAGGTCTGAGCAGGTCCTGACCCTTGGGTACCCCAGTCTTGCTCCCACCTGCTCGGCCTCGGCCTCCCCCTCCCTCTCGAAGCATCGGAGACCCAACCCAGCCTGCACCTGCCAGGCGCCACTCCCACCCCTCCCCCGACCTGTGTGGTCACAGCCCGCGCGGCCCCTTCCAGCCGTCTCCTGGCACGCGGGCAGCTGGCGGCCCGGCCCTGGGGACACCCACTGTGCCCCCCAGACCGCTTCTGGTTGTGCTGCCAACGTGGGAAATTCTCAAACCACAGCGCTCCCCCCAGTTTCTCTTCCCCCTAAATTTTAGGGGAGCCCGGGAGACGTGCGTTTGCGGCCCGGAGGCTTGCGCGTCCCACACATCCCACATCTGGACGCAGCGGCCACGGCGGCGCCTGCAGCAGGTGCCAGGCGCCTGGGCAGCGCATCTCTTGCTTCCTGGCCCCATCTGCTGGCCACCTCCGGGAACGCCTTCCCGCCCAGGTCCCAGGGCCGTCGGGACAAGGTGGCCCGTGGTGTGGCTCCTCAGAAACTCGGGGTCACCCATCTCGCCCCACGTTCCCGAGACTTCTCTGGCATTTTCCCGCGGTCCTTGCACGGGGGGGACCCCGCCCCTGGCGCGCACTCACAAGCGCGCGTAGGGAAGTACCCTTGCTCTAAGGGCAGCTTCAGAAACCCCAAATGCTCCCGGAGCCCCAGTGAGCTCCTCTCGAGACCTGCGGCTGCTGTCCATAGGTGCGCGCCAAGGATGCTGTATAGACAAGTGCCCGATAGGTGGGTAAGGCGTGTACAGAATCGCATTGTTTCGGGGCTGGACGTGAGTCCCAGCCCCGTGCACGGCGCCTGTCGATCATTCTAGAATCCAGCCTTTCTGGTCCCCGGCGTCTCCGCTGACGTTGCGGAGCTAAGAGGTCGCTTGCGGCCGCCCCGCAAGCTCTCCTGCTCACGTCACAGGGAGGGTCTGCCTCGGTGGGGAGGGGACCAGGCCCCGCCTCCGCGCCGCAGGCCCACCTGCCCGGCCTGCAGGTGAGGGTGGGCCGGGGCTCGCCGGCGGGCCCACCTGGGGAGCGGGGGGGGGTGGGGCTTCTACTTCGAATGGCCAGCTCGGGGTCAAGGCCACTCTTTCCCCGCGGGACGCCCACAGCGCACCTGGACACAATGTCAGCGCTTGTCCAGGCGGCCACGCGCGCTGGGAGGGACCCCCAACCCCGCCTAGGGCCCGGCGGGGCGGGGGCGGGGCTGCGTGGGAGGGAGGGGAGGGGCCTGAGCGGGCCCGCCCCGCCCCCTGGGAAACCGCCGTCCTCGCGGGAGCCAATCAGGGCGCAGCGCGCGCCGGCTCGCCGCGCCGTCAGTTAACTCGCGTGTCGCGTGCGCACGAGGGCGGCCTCCGCACGCCGAGCGCCCGTGTCCGTCCGCCGTGGGCCGAGGGCCGCGGCCGCGCCCCCACGCTCCGGGCGGCCGCGCGCCGGGGACGCGAGCGCGGAGGGATCCGCGGCCGTTGCGGCTGTTGGCGGCGCAGGTGCGGGCGGCGGGCGGCGGCGCGCTCCTCCCGGACCGGCTCGGCCGCGGCGCCGGTGAGGCTGCGGGCCGGGCGGCGCGGGCTCCGCGGGCTCCGGCGTCCCCGGGAGGCGGGAGCGAGTCCGGCCCGCCCGGCCGAGGCCGTGGGCTCGGGGCGGGACGCGGGCGCTCACCCCGCGCTCGCCTGCGCCCGTCCCCGCACCCGCCGCGGCCAGGCGCCTGCGACCGCGGAGGACGCGGCTGTCGCGGGCGTGCGGGCGGCGGAAGGAGTGGACAGAGGGGCGCGCTGGCCCGAGGGCCGCTCGGCGGTGGCAGGGCGAGGGACACTGCCCAGCAGACGCGGGTCGCGTGGGCAGCAGCGGCTTTTTGGCGGCGCAGTGCCCACGCAGGCTGGCTGGGGCCGGCCTAGGAGAGTTGGTGTCTTGGGGGGGATTTTCCCGGTCACTGCGTGGCCGCCCAGACGCCCGCAGTAGCCAGGGTCGGGCTGGGGGGAGCCAGGAGCCTGCGTCTCCCGTGGGGGCGGCAGGGACCGGCTGCCCCGACCACCCGGCCGCCCCCGCCCAGGGCGCATGGTGGCAGGGCCGGGAGAGCCGCGGGCGCCTGGACCGGGTGTGGGAGCGCTGGCCGGCCGGCTGCTCCCGTCCCGGGCCCCAGCAGCGCCCTCCCCCGCCGTGCAGGTGCTGCGAGCGCCCGGTCAGGGTGCAGCGGCCTCCTCGGACAAGATGGACCCAGAGCGGGCGCTGAGTGTACGGGCAGCTTCGGCTGGGGGTGTGCGTGCGCTGTGTGCCGGGGCCAGGGGAGGCCGTCCCCGCGTGTGGTGACCGCTGTCTCCCAGGACGTCCCCGCGTGTGGTGACCGCTGTCTCCCAGGACGTCCCCGCGTGTGGTGACCGCTGTCTCTCAGGACGTCCCCGCGTGTGGTGACCGCTGTCTCTCAGGACGTCCATGCGTGTGGTGACCGCTGTCTCACAGAGAACATCCCCACGTGTGGTGACCGCTGTCTCAGGACACCCCGTGTGTGGTGACCGCTGTCTCTCAGGACGTCCATGCGTGTGGTGACTGCTGTCTCGGGACATCCCCGCGTGTGGTGACCGCTGTCTCCCAGGACGTCCCCGCGTGTGGTGACCGCTGTCTCAGGACACCCCACGTGTGGTGACCGCTCTCTCTCAGGACGTCCCCGTGTGTGGTGACTGCTCTCTCTCAGGACGTCCCCGCGTGTGGTGACCGCTGTCTCTCAGGACGTCCCCGCGTGTGGTGACCGCTGTCTCCCAGGACGTCCCCGCGTGTGGTGACCGCTGTCTCTCAGGACGTCCCCACGTGTGGTGACCGCTGTCTCACAGAGGACGTCCCCGCGTGTGGTGACCGCTGTCTCCCAGGACGTCCCCGTGTGTGGTGACCACTGTCTCAGGACGTCGCCGTGTGTGGTGACCGCTGTCTCCCAGGACGTCCCCGCGTGTGGTGACCGCTGTCTCAGGACGTCCCCGCGTGTGGTGACCGCTGTCTCCCAGGACGTCCCCAGCGTGTGGTGACCGCTGTCTCCCAGGACGTCCCCGCGTGTGGTGACCGCTGTCTCCCAGGACGTCCCCGCGTGTGGTGACCGCTGTCTCCCAGGACGTCCCCGCGTGTGGTGACCGCTGTCTCCCAGGACGTCCCCGCGTGTGGTGACCGCTGTCTCCCAGGACGTCCCCGCGTGTGGTGACCGCTGTCTCCCAGGACGTCCCCGCGTGTGGTGACCGCTGTCTCTCAGGACGTCCCCGCGTGTGGTGACCGCTGTCTCCCAGGACGTCCCCGCGTGTGGTGACCGCTGTCTCACAGGACGTCCCCATGTGTGGTGACTGCTGTCTCACAGGACGTCCCCGTGTGTGGTGACTGCTGTCTCACAGAGGCCATCCCCGCGTGTGGTGACCGCTGTCTCAGGACGTCCCCGTGTGTGGTGACCGCTGTCTCGGGACGTCCCCATGTGTGGTCACTGCTGTCTCGGGACGTCCCCATGTGTGGTCACTGCTGTCTCGGGACGTCCCCATGTGTGGTCACTGCTGTCTCGGGACGTCCCCATGTGTGGTCACCGCTGTCTCAGGACACCCCATGTGTGGTCACTGCTGTCTCGGGACGTCCCCGTGTGTGGTCACTGCTGTCTCAGGACACCCTATGTGTGGTCACTGCTGTCTCGGGACGTTCCCATGTGTGGTCACTGCTGTCTCAGGACACCCCGTGTGTGGTCACTGCTGTCTCGGGACGTCCCCGGGTGTGGTGACCGCTGTCTCAGGACACCCCGCGTGTGGTCACTGCTGTCTCAGACACCCTGTGTGTGGTCACTGCTGTCTCAGGACACCCCGCGTGTGGTGACCGCTGTCTCAGGACACCCCGTGTGTGGTCACTGCTTTCTCAGGACCTCCCCGTGTTTGGTGACCGCTGTCTCAGGACACCCCCGTGTGTGGTCACTTCTGTCTCAGGACACCCTGTGTGTGGTCACCGCTGTCTCAGGACGTCCCTGCATGAGGTCACTGCTGTCTCGGGACCTCCCCATGTGTGGTGACCGCTGTCTCAGGACGTCCCCACGTGTGGTCACTGCTGTCTCGGGATGTCCCCGCGTGTGGTGACCGCTGTCTCTCAGATATCCCCGGGTGTGGTGACCGCTGTCTCAGGGGTTGGTGTGAGCCCTGTTGTGAAAGTGCACTGGGTTCTGGCTTGCACAGGGCTGGAGAGGGAGGAGGAGCCGCCTTCGTCTGGTGCGCATGTTCTGGACTGTGCATGGGAACCTGTGGTCCTGTCCACTGGAGCTCCTGGCTAGAGTGAGCTGTGCTGGCTGCGTGTTTGCATTTCGTTCTGCCGCACGGCGGGGGAACGAGCCGCTCGTTAGAACTGGAGGTGTCGTTGGACCACAGCAGAGCGTCGGGCACACAGATGACCTGGCTTAAAGCCGAGCTGCCCAAAACACAACTGTTGGCACAGCCGGCTCCGCCAGAGCCTCCCACTGGGCGTCCCTCTGCTGCGTCCGGCCAAGCCCCAGCACCCAGGTGTGGGCTCCCGTCAGGAGGCCTGGCCCTGCACCGCCACCTCCGGGGTGTCACGGGCAGGAGTCCAGCGTCCTTTCTGGTGAGAAGTCCGCTCGTTTCCTTCCTCGCTTCTCCCTGAGAGAGCTCCCATCCACGGTCCACTCCCAGAAGCCAGCCACAAACTCCGCCCCGCTCTGCCACCCGCTGCTGCTGCCTCCCAGGGTCTGGAGTCGGACCCAGAGCTGGGAATGGGACCCAAGCACTGTGTGGGACGTGGGCACCTCGACCACACGGCCCAGTGCTGTCCCCACTGAGCCACTGACACTCCGTCAGGTGGGCCTCAACCCGTGCGCACTCTCAGCTGGTCCTCATGAGTGGCCACGGGCTCCCACGTGTCTGAAACGTGGGGAGGTATGGTCAGGCTCACCGGAGGCCTCTGCCCTCAGTAGCCCGATGACGCTGCCGTCCTCCCCGCTGGGCGTGGCTGGGTGGCCGCTCTGACACCCGACACAGACCTGGCTCCAGGGCACCTGGGACGCCAGGGCTGACAGGAGCAGGGACAGGTTGGTTTAGCACGGAGCTTCTTCAGAAACACAGGAGGCACTGCCTGTGGGCCCTCGGGAAGCGAGGGCTCAGACTTTGGGCGGCTGTGGGGGAGCCAGGGGCAGTGTGTGGTGCAGGACAGTGGCCTGGGCCTGGGAGAAGGGGTGCAGCTCCTAGCTGGTTCTGTGCTGTGTGCACGAGTGAACAGACCACACTGGCATCCTCTTCCTACTGCCACGTCTGCTGGTGAGAATCCAGCGGACAAGCCGCCTTCCCCTCCCGGCCCAGCCCCGGCCTTGCTGGCGTGGGAAGGCTGCCGGGGAGCTGGACTCCCGAGTTCACTGTCGTGGTGTTGCCTATTGTCTTCATGCAGGTTTCCTCTCCAGGAAGCGAAAAATGAGTGGACGGGCCAGGGCCAGAGCCCGGGGCAGGGCCCGCGGGCAGGAGACGGCGCAGCACGTGGGGGCCGCCACCGTGAGTGCTCTTATGCCCCTCCCGGGAGGCGGGAGGACGGGACCTGTCAGACCCCTCCCTCACCCACAGGGTGGGTGCCTGTTTGGGGCTGGGTCGCCTCTGCACCTGAGAACAGAACGGGTGTTTCTTTGCCTCAACTGCAGAGTCAGCCGCCTGGGTTCGTCCCGCCCAGACCTCAGCAGCCGCTGGCAGAGGGCGAGCTGGTGGGCCGAGGGCGACAGCGAGGAGCAGCAGGAGCAACAGCCAAGTCGCAAGGTGAAGGAGCGAGCGGCCTGCATAGCCGTGGAGTGCGTGGTCGCTGCCGGGCCCTGACACACAGGGGCCCGCAGCAGGCAGGACCCGGCGTCTCCCCAGCCCGTGCCCCCAGACCTCCCCACAGGAGAGAGGGCACGCGCTGTGGACCGACTCCCTCGGCTGAGTCCTGAGTGCCTGACGGGCCGTACTCAGAATGTTGTCTTGACATCTGCAGCAGTTCTGGCCCAACTGGGGACAACGTCAGCGTCCCCCCTCCATCCAGCAGGCTTCCTGTACGTCAGGGTGGCTAAGCGAGTCTCAGAGGCGGAGCCAGGGCCGCGTCCTGGCCGCTGGTCGAGTCAGCGGCGGTTCTGATTTCCAGCACTCTGCTTTCTCACTGGCCTGTTGCAAAGCTGGGTAACTGGGGTCGTTGGGCTGAGGGTCTCCTGTACTTACGGATGTGGTCCCAGCACGGGAGAAAACAGAGACAGGTGGGGAAACAGGTCATGGAGTCAGCGTCCCCTGCCTGGGGAGTCGGGCACTGGCTCCCCACATCCTGTCGATGCCGTGGGCGTCACCGGGGGCAGCGTGGGAAGGCAGCCTGGCTGCAGGGAGTGCGTTCACTGCTCCGCGCGTCCTGGCCTGCTCACTTGTGCTCACATGTGTGCAAGCTGGCGGGAACCGTGCGGAAGATGCGAGAGGGCAGCAGAGGCCCGGGGACGCCAGCACAGCCTGACGTGGGCCGCAGCCCTGCGTCGTTTTACTTGGTAACGGGTACGTGTCTGCTCAGTACCACCTCCGTCTGCTGGCTCCTCCCCAGTGCCTGCTGAGACGTGGAGGGGGCTCAGCCCGGTCTTCCGTGGGGTGGGGAGTCAGACATCGAGGGTCTGCACTAGCAGGAAGCTGGAGCCGGGAGCAGGCCAGGACAGCCATCGCACTGCCTTATCTGATGGCTCTGTGTTCCTGGCACTTGGTGACAGCTGGCCTGTGTCACGGAGTCCTGTGTGAGCACTGGGCCGTGTAGAGTGAGTCTCACAGGCAAGACTGAGGGAATAACCCAAAGCAGAAGCACCCAGCCAGTGCACTCAGGTAAAGCCGGCCACTCTGTCAGTGGCGTACTCCGCGGGCTATGCCCAATGAAAACGAGGTCCAAAATAGCATTAGCCTGTGCTTTATTTAAAAAAAAAATGTTTAAAGATTGATTTAAAAGAGTTGGAGAGAGAGAGAAGGAGGTAAATCTTCCATCCTCTGATTCACTCCCCAGGTGGCCACAGCGGCCAGGGCTGGGCCAGGCTGCAGCCAGGAGCTTCCTGGGGTCCCCCATGTGGATGCAGGGGCCCTGGCACTTGGCCATCTCCGCTGCTTTCCCAGGTGCATTAGCAGGGAGCTGGGTCAGAAGTGGAGCAGCCGTGTGGGATGCCAGCACTGCAGGCAATGGCTTTGCCTGCCACACCACGCCGCTGGCTTCTATCCGGGTTTTTAATAAATACATGTTATGTGTATATTTCCTATATTTACAGAAAATGTTGAAAAGAGTTCATGGGTCTTCACGTGAGGAGTTAAGCTGCCGGATAAGATCTGTTGTTTGGTGGATCCGATTCCTTAGCGGTAGAACGTTTTGTTTTCTAAGTGGAGGTGCCTGATGGTTAAAACGTGCACTTCGCCCTCTAGTCCTGCCGCCGCGTCCCTCTGAAACTCCAGTGTGACTTGTTCACCTGCGTTCAGCGTACACAGCAAAGTGTCATTGAAAGAAAGACTACAGAAACACATGCTGGAGCTGTTGAAGTGGTAGACTTCTAATACCACCTTAAAACAGAAGAACGCCCATTTCTTACACGTCCCAGGTGTCAGTCCTCACTAACACTGAGTTTAGAAAAATACCACTTACTCAAGAACTTATTTTTTTTAAAGATTTATTTATTTGAAAGAATTACACAGAGAGAGGAGAGGCAGAGAGAGAGAGAGAGAGAGAGAGAGAGAGAGAGAGAGGTCTTCCATATGATGGTTCATTCCCCAGATGGCCACAATGGCTGGAGCTGGGCTGATCCAAAGCCAAGAGCCAGGAGCTTCCTCCGGGTCCTCTACACGGGTGCAGGGGCCCAAGGACTTGGGCCATCTTCCACTGCTTTCCCAGGCCACAGCAGAGAGCTGGATCGGAAGTGGGCAGCTGGGTCTCGAACTGGCGCCCATATGGGATGTTGGCGCTTCAGGCCAGGGCATTAACCCACTGCGCCACAGTGCCGGCCCCCATGAACTTAAATTTAATCCTGTGGCACTCAGTTCCCATCTGTAATAAGGCAGCGTCGGGTGTAACAGTGCAAGCCGGGTGGGGCATGGACCACGCGCGAGCTGGCAGGCCGGAGACCATCGCGGCACACCCCACTGCTCCTGTGAGACCCGGCTCTGAGGCTCGCACACCGCAGGGATGTTCCGGAGTCCCCGTGGCTCACGGTTTGGCAGGTTCTGTGGGTGGTGGCCTTGGGTCTGGGGCCGCGGTGTTCGCTGTGTGAAGGGAGTGGCTGCGCCGAAGGCTCTCAGAAGAGTGGCGCGGCCTGGGCTGTGTCTGCTTGGCCCCTGGCAGTCACACAGAAAGCGCACGAGCAGGCTGTCAGCCACAGCCGTGCTGCGTCTCGCTCTGGGCAGGTGACGTGCTGGGGTGGTGTCATGGCTGACGTCAGAAACTTGCAGTTGACTTTTGCCTCCAGGACTGCAGACTCACATTTTGTGAAGACAGTTGCAGCCGTGCCTTGAGGATCCTTTGTGTCATGGGCTGGGGCTAGAGTTCGGAGCAGAGCTGCGCTCCTGGATGTGTTGCGGTTTTGTCCCGAGGCCGCACTTGGTTCAGGCTGGCCCAGGGCTCCGCGTCTGTCCCCGAGCAGGTCCTGGGCCCGGCTGCAGAGTCTGGGCGTGGCAGCGGTTTGTGCAGCGGCTCTGAGGCCGCCCTGGCTGTGGGGAGGGGGGGAATGTGGTCCGTTTGGGTTTGTGGCTCCCAAAAATGTTTTTCTGAAGATGAGGGTAGGCTGTTGGGAGCCCTGTCA